TTCACATCAATTATGTACATTAACTTTCAATTCGTGATTCGATTCCTATTCGCAAAACTACTAGTACATGACGCGGCGGTGGTGGGGCAAATTGAGCACCGCCCTCTCGTGTGCGTACGCCCCGTAGCGCTTGAGACTGTTGGATGCATGCAAGTGATCCAGAGAAAGGAGTAAGCAAATGCGAGATCGCATTGGCGTACTGTAAAGTACCAGTATCGATGACGGTGAGGCCGATGACATTTGGAATGACGGCCGCACGATCGCAGCGACAACGCTGCGTGAAGAATGATGCGGAGATAGTGCAATGCACGTTGTGTTTTGGATACTAGAAAAAAGTACATCACTGCAGATACTCCACGTGACGGGTCCTGTGACGGTGATCACGCATCGACCTTTTCGGCGCCACGAGTCACGTGGCACGCTGACAACCGCCAGCAGTCGTCACGTTCAAATATGGGTGTGGTGACACACCAATGGCTTAGGCAATGCAAGTTAGTGTGCAAAGCGTTAGAGGTATGTGGTCGCAAAACGTTTGAAATTAGGTTTTTCCTTCGTTGGCCGCCCTGTTGCGCCATGCAGGCATAGTATTATGCACCGACGAAACCTTCAAGTTGCTGGTAGTATTAAAGCTACTTGTACCACCCCCTGGTACAACGACAGAATGTCGACGTTATCGCATGTATTGTGCGAGTCGAGCGCGTGACCAGAAAGCATAAGTGGCAGGTGCGTCGCATGAAGGTATCGACCTCACTTGAAGTATCCAGAACGGTGGAGGTTCTTTAAAACTTGATGGAACGAATCGAATGCCATTGCAATCGAGCCTTGTGGTCCCAGAAGCACCTCGAAATCAGTGCTGTGGAACCAACACCAAAGGCGAAGACTGGTCGACTTGCCGATGACACAAGGGCTGTTTCCAAGAAGTGGGAAAGGTCTTCCGGTCAAGGCCGAACGATCTAGAAGTCCAAGATCAAGAAATATGCACGTTACAAGATTCAAGATCCAGGTGCAGAGCAAGCGAGTCCCGACCATTTCCAAATTGATGGTGTCAGTCACTTAGCCAACCCGCCTCGCCCACAACTGGCATGGCAGACACCAACACCACTGTAGCCACCAGGTAGTTCGATCTGGATTGAGGAAAACTATTGAGCGTTTCATCTCTAGGGAGAATATATTTGCCTGCTACTTTAGGCTCTACAAGGCTGCCGCCAAGAAGTGCGGGAGAAATCTGGTACGACAGAAAAGCATCGAGAGTATCTCGATACCGGTATGCTGTTCATTTAGCACAGGTTTTACTTGTACACGACGGCGCTGCCTAGAGATTCCATGGTCAACTGTACTACAAAGCCTAGCAAATCACTATTCCGAGCAAGCCGACGCAGGTGTATGTTTGTATATGAACGTGTTTCCCGTTATCTTCGTGGATGGATGTTTGATTTAAGATTTCGGCAAAGCCTGGTCGCACATTGGTCTAGGTGCCGCAGTGGTATTCAAAGAGGATGACTACAGTCTTGAGCCCAAACCATAACGGTGAGGGCAAGCACAACAGCGGTGCAACAGGTCGGCATC